TATATATGTATATGTATATATGTATACATATATATATATATATATATATATGTACGTATAATATATATATCTTCATGTAATATAAGAGAAAACAAACAACATCATAACAAGTGCGTACCTGTGACACATCTGGGGCCCCCATGTCGCAAGAGCCGCCGCATACACTACCAGAGTGATAGTCATGGAGAGCAGTATAGCGATACCAATCACCACACCCATCCGTCTCAGCATGACCAGATCCGCAAAGAAGAGAACGAACACAGACCCCACAGTACTGATGCAAGAGAATACGACGGACGACCCGATATTACGCAGGCTGGCACTTACTACGGCTACGCGATGTGACTCTGGGCTGGAGAGATAGGGTGTGGTATAGAGAAAGGGTATGAGATTGCAAGTGAACCATACACCTTAAGACTCTGGGTCAGAGGGATAGGGTGTGGTTTTATGCAAGGGGTATGAGATTGCAAGTGAATAATGCACCCTTTCCTGTCGCAGACCTGATAGGAGGTGTTGAGTGTAGTAGTTGGGCTGTGACCACAGTCCACAGTTCAACGACATGTAGGTGTATAGACGTGTGCGATTACAAGTGCTGCTCAGTGTGTAAACTAACCCACACCGCCGGTAGAAGCATATCAGTGCCCCACTAACTGGCACGCACACCCTCTGATCGACTGAGGGGTGCTCTATGTCTTACCTGTCGTGGGGGGCGTTGTCCCGTGAGTTTTCAATGTACTCTTCGCTCAGGTGTATGAAGTAGTCTACGGCCAGACCCATCAGCATGGTGAGGGTGAGTGCCTCAACCATACCCACTTCCCAGCCAAAGCACCAGGCCAGGCCCAGTACTACCAGCACCACGGCCCCTAGCAGAGCCGTGGCTGTGAGCGCTAGTGTGGGAGACTGGGTGAACAGCAGCAGCGCCAGGCCGGCGACTAGCGCTGAGATGGACAGGGACCAGCCCACACCAGACACCGTGGTGACCTGCCGGGTAGGTAGGTGAGTGGTAGGTAGCGGGTGGTAGGTAAGCAAGGTGATGAGCGTGGAGATTAGCACAGGGATGGGCCAGAGTAGGCGAGGATGGGGACCTGTATGTGTACGATTGGTTGTTTTGCGAACGGTTGTTTGTGTTATGTTGTGTGTGGTGGTATGTGCTGGACAGAGACCATCACACACACGCCCCTCAGCCCGACAACAGCAAACAGCGCATGAAAAACATATGGCGAAGTGACGCAGAGCATCACAAACATAAGCTAGGACGTGAGAGGTGCGGAAATAGTGATACCTAACACTCCCCTGATCTAGTCAAGCCGTAGAAACAACACATGACAGCCGAGCTCGTCTGCATGTGCACCTGCGCAAGCCTATTCCGTCACCAAGGGGTGCAGTAAGGCGTGGCGGGTGGCTTCTCACCTGTGTGATTGCATCGCCCCATGCCTCGGCGGATTGCGTCATCACTGCGTCAGAGTGGCTGTTGTCGTTGAAGACGTCGATGACGTGCTGCCAGTCGTGGTAGTACTGTGGGAGCCGAGTCGCAGTGGTGTGGGTGTGAGACAGGAGAGGAGTGTAGGTAAACTGAGGGGGCGGGGCTTGCATGCTTGTGTGGTTGCCTAGACTCGACATCACTTGTAGGGCTATACATTCGCACCGATTGGTCAGCTGTGTCTAGTGCACCGCACGTGTACGTAATGGTTTGTATGTCGTATCGCAATGGTTTGTATGTCATATCGTAATAGTTAGTATGTCTTCTCGTACTGGTTTGTATGTCATGTATACCCTAGTGACGCACATGTATGGTAATAGCCTCACGCATCGTTTGCCTCTGCTGACAAACACGCCCGGCCCTCTCACGTACAGTATGGCCTCTAAAGTAATATCTAATACCTTGAACTTGAAGTCTCGCCTACCTAAAGCCTATGAACAATCACCGAATTCTTTGAACTTAAAGTCTAACCTACCTTTAGCCTATGAACTAATATCTATTTCCTCGAACTAAAAGTCTCACGTACGTATGGCCTATGAACTGATATCTATTTCTTTGAACTTGAAGCCTCACGTACGCATAGCCTATGAACTCATATCTAATTCCGTGAACTCAAAGTCTCACGTACATTGCTTATGAACTAATATCTGATTTTTTAACCTGAAGTCTTACGTACGTTGTATGTGGCGAAGGGGTCGGAGCCTTCGCGAAACGGTGTGTACACTTCGACTGTCACAGCGGCTATCTTATCCTCGTTCCACAGTAGGTAGTCATCAAATACTCTGCAAGACACAACACATGATAGTCTATGTTAGATACATAGTGCATCTCGGGTACGTGAGCGAGTCCCTGCAAGCCAACACGAGTTAGTCAATTACTTATGCTAGCTACTAAGCGCATCTCAGGTGCTGGAGTGAGTGAGCGAGCGAGTGGGTACGTATAATAGGGAGGGAGAAGGGTTCATGTGAACCTGCAGGTGCGGGTGGATGGGGTGTATATCTGCCACTGTGGGTGGCCTTTCCTTTCTACCCAGACTAAGCAATGTTCGTGAGCTGGACTGTGAATAACTTAGAGTTAAGACTACTCTCTAGGCTTCCAACCGCTTGGTTTCCGAGTTATAGATGAGGTGTTGTTATGGAAGTGTAGGAGCGAATGGTATTGGGAATGAAGATACATGCGTGTACTGTGCATCCCATTGGATGGGAGGAAGGATTGTGCTTGATTCGAGGAGCCGTATCGGACCCGTATAGAACTGAGTCATTACTTTACCATTATCAAGCATTGCGTATAAATCTGAAAATCCACGCAAGTCATCGTCGTTTCTACTGATTTTGGACATCAGATGGCTTTGTGATTGGCACTAAATCCCTTGTACAAACGTGATTGCATGCACGCTATATCCAATTCTATATTTTGGTAACTAGCATCGGAAACGGGCGCAAGCCGAATCCTAAAATAATCGGATACGGCATCAGGTATATCATTGGGCTGTGGCCCACAAAACATACCGTCCCTGTGGTGACTGCAGGAATCGGGTGACGCTTCGATTGATCTGCCGCTGCGAACCAGTCAGTGGATAAGCCAGGCCCATCTGACCGGTCCACTCCTCCAACGCTAACGCAATACAACTGCAAGGGATTGTGGGCGGTTGTTGGTACATGCGCTGTGGTTCAGAGAGGTGCATTGCTGTGTGTTTGTTAACTGTATGGGTATGGCTGTACGAGTATAGTCGGGGCTTGACCGTATTGCAATCGCATGCCGTGGTGATGATAACTATCTATACAGCTGGCGACGCAGTTTGCGCTTCGGGGAGATTCGACGGAGGGGTTTCCGGATGTAAACCGCGTTTTCACCGGGTGAAAGCTCCTTACACTACACATAGATAGATGACAAATAGATAACATGTGATCTAATAACTGTCTGTTCTCAAAACATTTGAACCGTACCTACCTTACTGAGCTGGGGTGTTGCTGTGACAGCTGTTTGTCGTCCTGTATCGCATGACACAGCTTGAGGAGATCTGATTGGGTGTTGGTGCTGTAGAAGTTGAAGTCTCCGTCAGCCACCGGCAGAAGCACTTCTTCGTCCCCGTCATCTCGTGCCAGTTTGATGTGGCGAAGGTCCGAAACCTTTTCCGTAAACGCATCTGTAGCGTATGAAGTGGGGTACATGTACATAGTGGATTTTAGAGCCTTAACCTTTTCCGTAACCGTATATGTAGCGTATGAAGTGAGATACGTGTACATAGTGGATTTTAGAGCCTTAACCTTTTCCATTAACGTATTTGTAGCGTACGAAGTGAAGTACGTGTACATATTGGATTTTAGAGCCTTAACCTTTTCCGTAAACGTATATGTAGCGTATGAAGTGGGGTGCGTGTACATAGTGGATTTTAGAGCCTTAATCTTTCTGT